TGGCATTGAACTTTGGCTGGCTTTGTAACTTGGGTGAGCCAAGTTTTCATAACCAGACAAAATTTTCCCATCCACATATACCTAGCATGTATGATGAAGAAACTTAGGATGAAACTGTGACCAATGTAGCCATAGATGGATAAACCCTGAAAAAAAATCTTTAGTTCTCAAATCCTATAATAATTATTTTCCTTTTGAGAGAATCTACTTGTTTTGCAAATACTAACTAGGTTGTAGTTTCGTGTTTCAATTATGTTTTTAATATCTCACTTGCTTGGAGTCTCAGAAGCGTAGTGCTCTGTCATGATGGACAACATCAGAAGCAGAGAAGCAAGGAGACATTAGAGGTGCTGGTGAATCAAATACCTTCAAAAATAACTTACAAAGAGAAAAATTTGAGTTTTTCCTAATCCTTAACCCTTGGTTACTCACTAACTCTCTGTTTTAAGTTTTCAGAGAGGTTTAAGTTTAAACAGAAAGTAGCGTAGTTGATAGAGTCCCTGGATGGTGCTATCAGTTAATGCACACAACTGCTAACAAAGTTTGGAAGTTCAAGTCCATCCAGAGGCACCTTGAAAGGAAGCCCTGATGATCTCCTTCTGGAAAATCAACCACTACGACCAGATGGAGCACAGTTCTACTCTGACAATCTGGGGTCACTTTGAGTTGGAGTTGACTTGATGGCAACTGATAGGGTTGGTAACAGGATCTGCAGAACTTGACATGCAAAAACAGTAGAGAGATGGAAGAGAAAAATAACTCTGCCTCCCCGTTGTTTTGAAATATAGTTTGCAGAAGTATTGTCTGGAAATGTTAAACAGAAAACAGTTTTGTCTTACCCCAAAGATTCTGATTGACTGCACTGGGAGTGGGGCCCAGGAATGCACGTTTATAATAGGTGATTCTAAAGCTGGTGGCCACTGACCAGACTTTGAAAACTCTTATTTTACACTCTACTACTAATAAAGGCCAAAGTGTTAGTAGAAAATACCTTCTTTTTATACTTTATATTAATTTGAACCACATGTTACTTGACCCTGTGTCTTGACACTTGTGGAAAAAAAATGCAAAACTAAACAAACAACTAAACAAAAACCCTGACAGGAATGTATTACACACAGAACTATTAGGATAGGAAAACACACTATGGTGGTAGAGACAAACAAGATTGACCATTAGAAGAGAGACTTGTTGTTTTTAACATTTCCTAAGAAAGTTGAGAATACAATCTAGAGGCTAGTATCAGAGTGCTAACATATTCAGAAATACCCATTTTTCAAAATTAGATAGAGTGAGGTGAAAATTGTTTATCGTTCTGTTAGTCATTTTAAAATCTTAAACTTAGAGCTTTTCCATACAAAGAACAGGATGAACCACAATTTTGAGGTGTAAAATCCCATCCCTCCACAGTGTGAAGCCTGAGGAAACAACACAGGCAGGGGCATCAGACTGTAGGACTTCAAAGTGAATTAGATTCGGTTACATATAAGCAGGATATGCTTTGACATTACAGTAAGGCTAGAATGAGATGCATGATAGCAGGGTCTGGCTCTGCTTGTGCCGATGTCCACCTATAAAAATTAGACCCTTAGTTCCCAGTTCAAAGTCAGTGTTGGTAAGTGGGGTTATTTAGATTGAAAACAAATTATTTTCTATATTTTTGTTCTTTTCATAAACTTTGTAACAAGTCCTGGGAAAGAAACACAGTATAATATGTAAAGAACACATTTGCTGTTTTTTATTGGTGCCTTGCATGGCAATAATACTGAAAAAAAAAAAAAAGAATGCAAAAAAAAAAAAAAAACAAAAAACAGGATGGTGGCAACCGAAATCGTTTTTTTTTTTTAAGAGTACATAAAGACCTGTCTTATTTTTATTGTGGCATGAATGATAACATAAAAC